TGGTCATGCTTCTCCTGCACCCACATCAGTAGAGCCAAGGATCATTGATCCTGATGAGGCCGTGACGAAACAGCATTGGCAACGCCAGACATCGTACGATTCCTGCTCGGATCCGTTATGTGGAAAGAGACTGGGTGGCACCAATGGCAACGTCAACTGTAGGCATTGCGGCAAGCTGTTTTGCGAAGACCATACCATGTACCAAATGAAGCTGTCGAGATCAGCACAACACGAGCCTGTTAGAGGTTTCTGGTGTAGAGTCTGCGAAACTTGTTACAAGAGCAGGGACGGTTACAATGATCACGGTCTGGAGCGGAATCTCACTACCGAGTTTGCAGCTATTCGAAGACGCACTGTCGACAAGGCTTATCTGGACGTCAGTAGGTTGGAGAAGCGTCTATCAAGAATAACACAACTTCTTGCCAATCCGCCGCCACCACCACAAGACCAGAGCACCCGCAGCTATTTGTGGTCACTTGCGGGCTCGAAAGACCACATTAGAAACTTGGAGCAATCCATCGTGACTTGGGAAGAGGACGCCCGTGTTTTGGACTGTCCGTTTTGCCAGCAATCTTTCTCGCAGTATTCCTTTAGGAGGCATCATTGTAGGACGTGTGGCAGGGTAGTTTGTGGAGATCCGCTAACTGCCTGCTCTACCGAGGTTGCCTTGAATGTTGACACTAGTGAGTCGACACGTTTTGTCATTTTATGCTTCACTAACCATGCCCAGTCACTGACAATGGTTCAGAAAAGGAACTTGGCCACGTCGCGGTCGATGTTCGCATGTGCAAGGACTGTCAGCATACAATCTTCAGCAAATCAGACTTTGCTCGCGAGATAGCTACCAAATCACCGGATCAGCGCGCATATGAGAACTTGGTGCAATTCGAAAGGGGCATTCGTCTCTTGCTTCCCAAATTCCAGAAATTGCTTGTCGCACTCCAAGATCCGGACAAGCCACCAACCCCTACACAACTATCAGACGCCACCAAGATTCGCAGACGCCTGATGGACGCCTTTACCCAGCATGATGTTGCTGCCCGACGGATACGAGACTTGCCGACCGACTTGATTGCGCAGGAGAAGCTGCAAAAAGCAATTTACGCTCAAGCAGCCAACTTCCTCCACTTGCACATGCTTCCCTTAAAGTCGCTCCCGAAAATCATGAAACACGCCTCTCCTCATGGTCGAGGCCCATCCAACGGCCGACCTCAAGGCACAAACAGCCCTCTTGCCCAAATCAAGGCCGAGGATCGTCCCAATGCTGGCAGCCGCACAAGCAGTACATCGAGCGCGCAGATAACAGCACTCGAAAAGGAAGAAAAAGAGCTCAATGAACGGTTGATCGTGCTGGAGGAGCAGAAATTCTTCGTGCAAGAGATGATTGCGGATGCGAACAAACGGCGAAAATTCGATGAAGTGGCTGCTTTGACGGGAAATGTGGAAGACCTTGATCGTGAGATTGATTCTCTACAAGCTCAGATTGCAGGCATGGACTTCCAGGGCGCATATACAGGATTGTGAATTGTTTACACCAGGGACATAGACGGCATCATTTCTTTTGTACTCTATAGCGAGGAGTTTGGGCGCGCGACCTTGGGGTGGGTGGTGTTGGGTGATGTGAAGTTAGAGAGAAGGCACCAACTGCTTGCAGATATTTGACAGATTCGAAAGTAATGTTCATATTACCATTTCTAATCAGTCGACTCGGTACCCATGTCGAACAACAGAAACTCGGCCGGCTTGTCACCCACATTCTCAACCTCAATCTTGCCTGGCCCGCTTGCACCTCTGACAAAAGCACCATCGCCCTCACCAAGCGTGACATTGCCAATCTTGATCTTCGAACCCCCCTCCTTGGGCTGTTCCTTCCCACCCATGACAACATGGAGATAGACATATCTCTCGCCCTCCTTGACAAGCTCATGCACAACGCTCTTCCCTGCACTCAAGATACTAGCACTCATACTCAAATCCGCATGCAAAGGGATCGGCTCGCCCTCCTCATCCTTCCCACTATGCCTCTCCACACTCTCCATAATCCTACAAAACCCATCCTTCTTCCTCTCATCCCCAAACACCCTAGTCACATAACTAGGTTTGAGTCCACTCACATCCGGCTTAGCCCATATCTGCAAGAAATGCACATCCTCACGCTCATTGCGACAGTACTCCGAATGCCTGATTCCCGTCCCCGCAGACGTAAACTGCACCTCGCCTCTACGCAGCTTTTCGAGATTCCCCATGGAATCCTTGTGCTCGAGTTCCCCGCTCACGATGTACGACCAGATGAGGAATTCGCGGTGCGAGTGCGTGCCGAAGCCTGTGCCGCGCTCGACGCGGTCTTCGTTTATCACGCGCAAGGGGCCGAAGGATTGGTATTGTGGGGCGTAGTAGGAGGCGAAGGAGAAGGTGTGGAAGGTGTAGAGCCAGCCGTGGTCGGCGTGGCCGCGGAGGTTCCAGGGTCGTTTTTGGATGCGGAGGTTGGTGGTTGGTGGTTCGGCGGTCATTGTTGTGGTTGTGGCTGCGCGTTTGGTTGTTGCTAGTGCGGGGGTTGAGGACGTGGTGAAGAGGCGAGGGATGGAGATGCGAAGCGGTGTTAGGAAGGCCAGGGCGAATGCTGCTAGGGCTACTAGGAGAGCAAGTTGTTTCAAGGAAGATGGTGCGGTTGATGTGGGTGGTAGTGCGGTGCTACTGCTTTCTGAAGAGGATTGTTTGGAAGACATGCAAAGATGGAGAGAACAGAAGAAAATACGATACTTATGTAATGGTAAGACTTGGCGATACGATTGGGTTTGAAAGATATTTTTGCTTATAATTGTTCGAGAAGAGGCTTTGTCAGATCAGCTTGTTGGTATAGGGAGATGGCTTGACTGTAATTCTACCCCACTTAGTCTGAATTGATGTAGCCAATGAAAATTCGGACTATACCTAGGAAAGATAGCTGAGTCTGTGCGCTAATTATGGTTAATTTTCGACATGGCTTCCGTCATTAGGTGGGGCCGACGATCTCACATGTCAATGGAAACTCTTTGGTCGAGTCAATTGTCTCAACACCAGTCTCGCCATCATCATTGTTGAGTGAGTGGTTAGCTTAGGCTGTCGCATTTTTTGATTGATACACTCGCTTGGTGCTTGATCTTTGATTGAACTCTTTCTGTCCTTAAAAAAGCAGGCCGGCGTAGTAAGCAAACCTGCATACATTCAGGCACAGCTCTTGCTTACTCGACGTAGCACATCTTGTTTCATTCTGACTTGGGTCAACGCCTTTCTACCTCAGTTACCTGCGACTTGAACCAGACCATTCACAATCATGCCAAGCATACCTAACAAGCCTCAAACCGAAGGCTCAAGCAGCTTTGATCCCGACAAGTACTTTGAGACATGGGGTGATGAAGTGCTTCAACCCTTGTACAACAACAATTTCCGCGCTTTCATTGGCACAACCTTTGGCCTCAAACCCTCTGATACATATGGCTACAAGGCCACGTCAGAAGTCACGCTGTTACAAGCTCAAACCTATCTGGAATATGGAGGTCAAGGAGGCCTACACGGCTGGTACAAGGATGCAGAAGGCAACCTGGTAAGTTTGACACTTTCTCGACTTCCCTCACTCGCATGCTCATATGCATAGCAGTGTCGAATTACTGAATGAGAGGTTCCAAAATACCAACGTACCACTTCACAGATTCAACCACCTCCTGCAGTCGACATTGCCGCATACACAGACATCTTCCGCTCCACGACGCAAACCCCGAAAGCCCTTGTCGCCTTGAAGTCAAATGCCAAAAAGGGAACAATTCGAGAATCTGTTTCTGCCCACCTCCAATCCCTCTATGCACCTCCTTCGTCTGACCTCAAGATCGTCATCCCGAAACTGAAAAAGGAACACGTCAACCCTTACTTTGACGTCTGGGCCTGGTGTAACCAGCAACTCGAGTGGGGTGGTCCCACAGAAGATACAAAGCACATCCACATTTCCCACGCCATACTGCCAATCTTGTATCACCACTTCGCCTGCATAGTCCCTAGCTACGAAGCTCTGTGCATCATTCAACAAATCACAAAGGGCAGAACGATAATAGATCTAGGAAGTGGAAATGGCTATTGGACCTATATCATGAGAAAATTCGACGAGAGTCCCAAGAAGAAGATGACGGTAGTACCTGTGGATAATGGGCTCAGCGAGTGGAGGACAATGTGGATTGGTGATACTGTCACTGCCGATGGTATCAAGTATCTGCAGCAGAACGGCGGTGCCAAGGACAAAGTCTTGTTGCTTGTCTACCCGCAAGTCAGCGACGATTTCACCGGAAAGATTCTGAGGGCTTATAGTATGTTACCCTCCTGACAGCCCTGCTCTGTGTTAAAACTGGTATGCTGACATGCACGACAGAGGGAGATACCGTGATTTGCGCTGGCACGCAAAATGCCAATGGTTTCACTGCTTTCGCCAAAGAAACAATTGCTGAGTGGATGATCAGGGAGATGCCGCAGTTTGGAAAGATCTGCCAGGTCCCCTTGCCCAGTTTTGCTGCCAAGGATGAGGCCTTGTATGTATTTCAAAAGAAGTCTGAGTGATAAGAAGAAGTAGTAGAGAAAATTAGCTGTGAGTATGCTGCTTGCTCAAAATGTCACATAACACTTCATGCCAAGTTGACCTTTTTTCAAACCATAGATATGGTCATGTATTCAGACCCTGGTGCTCAAGTCTGCAAAGTGGTTAAGCAGCAGTCCACGATGAGAATCCTGTAGTTGCAGGAACACCCTCCTTAGCCATCTCCCACCCCTCAGATGAGAAAAGGCTCTAAATCCCCTCGCACATCCCTTCAAACCATGCCACTCAAAAACCAAATAAAACAAACAAGCCGTCTTCTCAGCAGTAATTCCCTCAAGTGAACCCCCTCAAAGCCTCACCAAGTCCCCCTCCAAATCCCCCTCCCCCACCACATCCAAGCCTTATATACCACCTCACTTCAAACAAATCAATAACAAAAAACGCTGCGGTGGCCAAGTGGTACGGCATTGAGCTTTTACACTCATCACTTTCTTGACTCATTCACCTAGGGTGAGGAGAGGGGGTGGTGGTGGTTGAGAGGTACTCAAGGATCGCGGGTTCGATCCCCGTCCGCAGCGATTTCTTTTTTTTTCCTTTTTGAGGGTTTGCATTTGCTCTTTTTGAGGAAGGTAAGGTGGTTTTCGGTCGCTTTGGCTTTGTCTGGTTTTCATTCGCTTTGGCTTTGTCGGCTTTGGTTTATGAAAAGGTGGGTTAATTGACTGAGATGTTATTTTCAGGCTTGTATGTCGCTTGCTTGCTTGATTCCATCGCATGTTTGGAGAACCCTTTCTGGTTACCCATTCCTTTTACGGTTTCCATCGTCCTGACCGGAGGATTTTGACTTTCTGTCGGAACGGTGCTTGCACAAGATATGCGAGAATATCATCGTCCTCGGCGAAACACACATTGATGCGTCAAAGCAAGCAAGGATCAAAAGGCCAACCATTCGAGATTGCACTTATCTCGTTATTTCTTTCGGGGTATCCACCTCAGAGTTCGAATTGGTCGAGCAGGAATGGATCTGCCGAAACACTTGACTATCCGAGGTCTGCTGCTCTCATATCTACTCTGACATGACCTGGTGTCCGCACATCCACTAATCAAATCCTCATCCGAATCGCACAAGCCCCTCCATCCACGTAGCCGTTTCTGCGCATAGCAAACGTGTGCGACTCATCTCCGGCTCCGATCTCTGCCAACTCCAGCAGTTGAAAGTTCTGACTTCTGACCATCGGTTCCAACAGCGAACACGTGCCGCTAATCAGTGGGCCCCAGATCTGCTGGTGACTCGCTCCGCATCAACACTTTCACCTGGCCGTCTAATTCCGTCGCTACTCGAGCGAGGACCAGAATTATTTGCCGATGCCTCAATGAAAAGCGGTACGCTACGCACCTCGACCTCGTGGCTAGAGACGTCGATACGCCTTTGGTCACTTGCCACGATATTCCAGGGCATGTGTCTGCTTAGCTCGGAAGTAATGAATGGAAGCGGGATCGAATGGAGGCTCGATAGGCGCAGTATATGCGCTCAATATAGCAATACATACTTCGGAAGTTTGATCTACCCTTGAGATCTGATCTAGCGTCACATCGCGGAGGCAGAAACGAAGCTCATGGCTACTGAGCAAGACAGTACCGTCCTGATGACCAGTAATGTCCGTTCCGTCAATCTATGCGTATAGTGAGTTGGTTTTAATCGCACAAAATCCTGGGAGCAAATTTGATACCCACCCACTAACGAGATCCTAGCTCCGATTTCCCCACCAACCTAACCACAAAGCAGCATGTTCGAGTGCAAGACTCCAAACGACTGCCTTGTTGAAGCACATGTAGCTTTGCCTTCGGAACCACACACGCGCACAGTCTTGTCATAGGCTGATGATGATGTAGTTTGAGGAAGATGGAAAGTTCCAGAAACAGCAATCGCGGTATACGAGGTTATCACACGCTTGAGACCTTGTGACTTGGGCTTGAGGCGGATTCAGGCTCGACGCGGAGGCCGATGCAGGATTTGTCGGGGATGCCATGACTGACCGACAGAGGTAGAAATATTAATTGATGCCAAAGCAATACGTTTACAACTCAGGGTTTATGTACTGTAGATCCATTGGCGAGGTGGCAGGTAAGGCAGCGCCGCTCCACTCTCTCACTCTCTGGGATATGATATATGAAGGATTCCTCCGGGCTGTCGCGTTCTAGTCCTGTTGTTATGGGGCTGCCGAATGACCTGTCCATTGTATATGTAATATTATGATCACGCGATCTACTCTATACAGTAACCAATCTGCTACCTTTCAGGCTTTAAGAGAAAATATTATCGCAACACCCGAGATTAGTCGAGCACGGAAGCAAAGTTGGAAGCAAAGTCTACTGTGGAGTTCCTGTCTTCATCTAAATCACAATTCCAACCATCTGTTCTGTAGATTGCGCAGTATACAAGTACAGGAGGTTTCTCACCATCACAGCGAACACATTTGACACTACTTATGGAATCGAGTACATCCCTATACAAACGAACAGTCGGTATTGCCCACAATCTTGTCCCATGTAAGCACTATACATATCCAATACCTACCCATTCCAACAGGCCACTCTACGATCAGGCATGTCTTCTCCTCCACGACCTTGGTGACCATGAAATTCTCATCAGACCATCGCCAGAAAGAGAATTACAAGCTCGCTAGCTCAATTTGTTGTTACGGTAACGAGCATAATAAGGGTTATTGCCTGAGTTCTTATTACCGATATAATGGGGTTCTATGGGACTGTCATTTCCTTGTTTATAGTGTCTATCTTACGCACTGGCTACGGCTTTCTAGGAGTGCCTGAACTATGCATTTTGACTCGGTGGACTCTACTCACTTTATTCTAATATAAGGACAGAAACAGCGACTTTCTCGCACTGCTGCTCAAGCTATTGGATTGGCTGTTGCTGTTGTTGCCGCTGCTCTATATCTTGAGATATCAGTATTTGATAGCTCAAAATCCTTGTCGTCTGCCTTGGACTAATCTCAGGGGTATTGTATGAGTCTGGGAATGGATATCAGAAGGCGTGTTCACGGCGAAGAGAACATGAGAGGCGGTGAAATGTTTTCAAGTAGCGAGTATGTGATTGGACCTAGCGTCAATGTCCACTAGTAACCATTGGTCTGGCCGACTATGTCAAGCCAACCAAGCTGATCGTTCCTCATGTTCACTCCATTTCTCTTGCTGAGTGTATATGCATCGAGCATGGATACAGATCGCGCAACCTCCGAAAATCTGCTCTGATGTCGTGGTCGCCCAAGAAAGCTTAGTCCTTCAGTTCAATCTCAGGGACATGATACGAGCACCAATCAATGCCCAGCCAGTAAGCCGCAGGTTTCAATATACGTCCTCCCTCCTCAAATAGACTAGAGTACTTGCAAAGCACATCCGTGGTGAACTCATGACAGTAGGGATCGCCTCTATTAGCCCAGTAGCGAAGCAGGACACTAACGTTTGGATAGGAGAATACGAAAAATCTGTTGAGTAACCTGCAAAAGGGAGAATTCTGGCTGTCCGCTGTGCTGTTGTCGATATGGTTGACAGTGTTAGGGCGAGGAAAAGTGTGATACTCCGCGAGAGTGATGATGGTGGCGCTGATAGCGACATTCTGTAGATGTGGCATGTTGTACTTGTCCGCAAATACGTATAGACGAGCGAGGAGGTGATGATAATCCCAGACACTCTCCTCTTTAGGGTTGTTCGAGCCACGGCCAAAACCACCTACTGTTGACATGTCAGCGTATGGCGCATAATTTGGAAGTGCTTCGACTTACAGCGGTGATCGATAGTTCAATCCAGGAACTCAGCGAAGACGTCCGCGTCGTCTTCTGGCAGCTCGATTTCGCGCTTCTCGGCCTCCTTGAACGAACGTTCAAAGGCGCCAATGAAGAAAGGAGAGTGGAGTTCCAACATTGGCTTCAACCATTGAAAAGTGGTCTGCTGTCCACCGGTGCCGACCTTGATAGTAACGATTTCCTCGGCAAGATTAGCCTGCCTAGCTATCATCAAAGCGTGGTTGCTGTTATGCGTCAGTATGTGGGTTCATTGTAAGAGGATCCAGACCCACCGTTGCCGTAGAAAGTTGGTAGCGGGGAAGCAGCACTTTTGCATAGGCTTCTGTGGCTCGCTGTCATCGGTGTCGTGCTCAGACATGTTGGTGTCGGACGTGGGGGTGTGGTCGTGTAGACTGTAGCGCGAGCTCTGACAAAGACCAAGGTGACGGACGGTCACAATCAAAGAATCACTAGGATGGCAGACTTTTCACTGTGACCTTTGAGGAAAGAGCTCGATAGATCCGTTGGTGTGCGAAGGTAGACTGGATAAGGACCAAGTTGTTGTGATAAGTCAACGATAAAGCATTTTTAACTTTCATAAGTCGAGTGAAAGTGATCAAAACAAGTGAGAAGCCTACGCAACTGCGTTATGTGAAGCGGGAATGAGGGAGAATCGTGTCAACAGACAAACACCTCGCGAAGGGTATCTTGGCAGTCATAGACCAGGAGACTGGGAGAGTAAAGGCCAATCGGTTTGACAAGCATTAAAATCCCTCATAAGATCTGTAATTCCAGCAACACCTGGAATGAGCATTCTCGATTCGCGCTCTTCATTTCCAAATGAGGTGGTCTTATTACACCCAAACAAGAACCCTTATCATATCACGAACCACTTTTAATTATTGCTCACGTCTCATACACAGCTCGAGGTCTTGTAGCAAAGATAAGACTTAAGTAGTCGTAGCGATGAGCAAGGATGGCGGAGACAATCTGAGGATGAGTTCAAGGACAAGAGACACGATGTCTCGCGGAACCTTGCACGCCCGCTACCCCCAGACACAAAACACTCGAAACATGGGAAGGCACGACGGACATTGCAAGTACCTAGAACGTCAAAAATCAATGTCGATGACGGGGCTGTTACCTCGACATTGGGACCCTCATCTTGCGATTAGATCTGTCAGCTACTACTCATTACCTTGCAATTCACTCTTCTCTCGTTCTGCGCCTCAAATCTTCAGGTGATTAGCTATCCATTGTCTTTTATCGCAACGCACAAGTAAAATCAAAAGGATGAGCATTCAGTCAAGTGATAGGATAGTGGTTCGAGGCAAACAATAAGAATTTTCTCCATGGTCTGCCGACGACGAACGCAACAAGGCTCAGTGCACTATTTGTGTTGATGGTTCGAATTCTAATTAAATCACCATGATGGCGTCAGGAAAGGCAGAACTGAAGAATGTCACACTGAAATGCTCCCGGTCTGTAATGTGCATAGTCTTCACATTGGGCTCTACAGTATTATTACGCCCTCGAAAGAGTCCTCGTGCGGCTTTCTGCACCCAAAAACATACAAGTGACTATTATCATCTCCGTGCTAGGCTTCAAGTGAAGGATCCTGGCCCAGCCTCCTCTACCGATCTGATCCAAGATCATGCAAGGTTGCCATCTCCTGATTCGGAGTGCCCAGCTTGCGCATCAGTCGAGGTTCAAATTTATGACAGGATCTGCTGCGGGCGTCTAACCCCGTCAAAATCCAACAAATTCGTATACTTGAA